GTCGGCCCCGCGGACACCCCCAAGCTGCTGCGTGGCATTCTCACAGAATCCAGGACCAGCTACCGACCCAGGCGCCCTTTGGACCCGCCCTTGGCCTTGCCTTTGTCCCGGCTCCGTGGGCTGTGACTAGTCTCTCCTGGGGAATTGCTACTACCTACTGCCTCCCTGTTGAATGATTTCCCTCCAAACCTGGTTACGCAAAAGGAGCCATTTATCACCCAGGGAAAAGGAGTCCCCGAGTGCTGCAGCGCTTGCCCAAGGTCCCACAGCCGGACCAGTGTATCTGGGATTCACACCCAGACCTGAAAACCAAACGACCCTCCCTCTGCCTTTCCGCCTCCAGAAATTTTGGCGTTGCTTAAGCTTCTGGGCTTTCAGACGAGGCGGGCCAAGTTCCTCCTTTGGAACCCTCTCTTGAAAGGGAGCCTGGGGAGACTGACCCAACTGCAGGGGGGAAGGGACTTGAGCCCCATCCCCTCTCCCAGCTTACAACCCTGTTAGAGAGAAAACCCCAAAGTTTGGCCTCGTGGTCGCATGGAAATCTAATCACAGGCCATTGCTAATTCCTGGATCAAAAAGTCCCTCAATAACCTGCCCACATCCCCACACCCCAGCATCTTCTGAGGGAGGAACTTCCCCTCCTTCTGCATCCAGGCTGAGCTGGGCCCTGGTCTCTGAGGAAAGGTGGTCTAGGCCAGTGGTCAGCAAACTGCGGCTCACGAGCCACATGCAGCTCTTTGGCCCCTTGAGTGTGGCTCTTCCACAAAATACCATGTGCGGGCACACGTACAGTGCGATTGAAACTTCGTGGCCTATGTGCAGAAGTTGGTTTTTGGCCTGAGCGAGTCTATTTTGAAGAAGTGGCGTTAGAAGAAGTGGGGGTATGTTCGCTGAGGTCAACCCCTCATATTGAGGACGTTTTTAGCAAAGGGCAGCTTAGGAGTACCCTAATTAAGTTAATAACAATGTACCTTAACTATATAGTTTAAGTTTAAAAAATCTGGCTCTCAAAAGAAATTTCAATCATTGTACTGTTGATATTTGGCTCTGTTGACTAATGAGTTTGCTGACCACGGGTCTAGGCCATTGCATTGTATGACTTTGGGAGGAAGAGCAAGACTGGATCCCCAGACACTACAAGGCTTCCCAGGCCAGGCATTGAGTGCTGGCTGCTCCAGGAGTGCTAGTCAGACCTCTGGTTGCTCTGAAGCCTGGACTGGTCCAGCGCTCTAAAAAGTGTCCTAATGTACCCAAAGAGCTGCAGGTCACACCCAGAAAGGCAGAGCCTACAGCAATGGGGCAGGAGGCCTGGGAACTGATACTGTTACAATAACATGATTATTAACTAACAGGAAAGGAATAAAAGGGAGTCTAGATCATGTAAGCATGCCATTTATACAGCTTTGCCAGAAAGCTACAGATAACTGTTAGTTCTGATCAAATAATCCAATCAATGTCCCCTCCCTGGGAAAGTGATCTTTAGATCATTTCACAACCAACATTCCCTTTTGCTTAGACCACATTCCATTTGCTAAGACCAGTAACTTTCCCCTCCAGACTTGCCCAGGATCCGGACTCACCCAGAGAATTCTCTGTAGAAAAAAGCCAGCCTGGAGTCCTTTAAAATCTCTGATTCCCATAGCTGGATGCTGATGCCATTTTGGGGCTCAGCCCATCTGGTTTCCAGATGACTAATAAATTCATAATTCTTTACCCCTTTCAGCCTTCTGTGTACCTCCTTCGGCGACCCTAACATTAACATTTTCCAAGTCTGTTCCCAATAGATCGCTGGAGGAAGGGACTGGACAATAGAGGCATGCCCAGTAAGGTCTGGGTGATGTGGGAAGGTGATTATTTTTCAGTCACACCTGGGAACAGGGCATTGGCCAAAGGAGATGTGTAGGTGTGGCCACTGCAAGTGCCAGAAGATTTCATATTTAAACTCTTGAACAAAGACAACCTCTATCATTGCTCCGGCCTGACTCCTGGCTCCTGGCCACACAGTGGACTGATGGACCTGTTGTAGGTGCGGTCAGACCAACCCTGGGTTCAACAACCTCGGTACTTGGGTTCTGGCTAGGAAAGAATTCAGAGCCAAGATCCAAACTGTAAGAGAACATTTACATACTTGGTAACTTCTAGAGGTTGAAAAAGTAATTCCTAAAAGAAATGGGAGACTGGCCTGGGAAGAGGGGCAAGATGGTGGACACTGAAGAGAGTGTTTTGCAGCTGGCGGGACTCTCTCCTGACCCAATTTTGTTTAGCCTCAGTAGTAAGGCCGCCCAAAAACAGCTGGCCAACCAGGGAGACAACCCTGGTGCAGCTCCGGAAGAGAAGGATTGCTTGAAGACCATGGAAGGGAGGAAGTTGCGGAGTGTGAATACCTCAGAAGCCCCCAGGTACTTGCCACCCCTTTGATCCAGAGTGACCATCAAAGGCAGCCACCAACCCAGGCCCCTGGCCCATCCATAGATATTGCGGCCACTGGGGATGGGATGCTGTCCCAGGCTATGAAGGAGTTCACTGAGGAATCTAAGAAGTCTCTGGAAGAAAGAGAGAATGCGGGTGTTGACCCCATGATCCAGAAAAGATGCACCCACCAGAAAGGGGCCGGCAGCGAACCCTGGGCCGAGACAGAGCCCAAGGCGCCAATTACGAGGCAGTCCCTGTGAAGACCTACGGCAGTGATGGCGAACCTATGGCACGTGTGTCAGAGATGACATGTGAACTCATTTTTTTGGTTGATTTTTCTTTGTTAAATGGCATTTATATATATAAAATAAATATCAAAAATATGTCTTTTACTATGGTTGCAAATATCAAAAAATTTCTATATGTGACACGACACAGAGTTAAGTTAGGGTTTTTCAAAATGCTGACACGCCGAGCTCAAAAGGTTCGCCATCACTGGCCTACGGGCTGGCCATGTTGCGGGGCATGGGTTGCAAACCTGGCTGGGGCATCGGCCACACCTTCAATCAAATGGTGAAGCCCCATGTAAATTCACTGAGGCCTAAAGGGTTACGGCTGGGCATCAACTTAGCTGAGGTCCAGGCCCTGACCCCCACCACTCACCGAGCCCAGGTGAGAAGCAAGAGAAGGATAAGGAAGATCAGCCTCAAGGACTGGTACCTGGAAGAGCTGTGGTGGTTCTTTCTGGCCCTTGCCGGTCCATCCTTGCTGTTTCAAGGGACCTGGCATATATGGCATACTGTTCTTAATATGTTTGCTCACCTTCTTGGTGCTGTGTTTTAACCAAGGTCACCTCTCCAAGAAAGGTTGTTTCCCCAGGTAGGGATTTTCCCCTGAAGTTAGGGAGGGAATAAAACCTCTTAATTAAGTGCCAGTCGGATAAGACAGAACCTAGAGACAGAACATGGCAAAAGATCCTGGACAGAACCTGGCTACAGAACCTGGCTACAGAACCTGGATAGAACATGGCAAGAGAACCTGACTAGATCCTGGTGACTGACCTTGGCTGGAGAACCTGGACAGAACCTGGCTGGAGAACCTAGTGAGGGAACATGGCTACAGAACTTCGCTGGAGATCCTGACCAGAACTTGGCTAGAGATCCTGGCTAGGCTGCTGATCAACTGAATGCCGTCTCCGTGTCATTCCTTCTTCGCTGACTCCGTCCACGCCTGGTTGGACCCCAGCAGGCCCTTACAGAAGATTATGGATGGGAAGGTGGAAGGCTTGGACCCTGACAATGTCTGGCCATGATTCATTTGGCCATGGGGAGCCGAGTGGTGACTGTTAGTGAGTACTGCCTATGGTCTGTCTCCAGCACGAATTTGACAAGCACTTCTTGGAGCCCAGCCAGGTGAGCAAAACTCCCTCATCAGGGCAACTAAACAGAACAGCCTTGTTGCAGAAGGCCTTCCAGGGTCCGGACCCTCCCACCTGGCGGAGCTGAAGAGAGGAAGCTGAAACACCTTCCAGAGTCTGGACCCACAAGAGGAGCCTCCATCCAAGAGTAAGAAAGCAGCCTCCAGGGGTCAGCACTGGTTGCACAGGGACCTGCGTGTGCAGCTTGTGGACAAACTGTACTAGCGCGGTCAGTATTACAGCACCAAGATGATAACTGATGTCCTCAGCCCAGATACTTGTGTGTGTTGGACAGATGAAGGCCAGGTCCTGGAAGGCGTCAGGGGGGACATGCTGGAGACCCTCATCCCCAAGGTCCAGGGAAAGGGGTGATGGTGGTGCTGGGGCCACAGGCTGGAAGGAGGGGCCCCCTGCTGGGCTGGGACAGAGCAGAGCCAGGCTGTGGTTCAGCTGCGGAGAGAGAATCGGCTGGTGGAGCTTTGCTATGATGCTGTTTTCGAATCCAAGGGCCCCACTGACTCAC